GACATGAGTGGACAGGGGTAACTCTTACTGAACTGCGTTTTCTTGGCGATTAGAGTGGTCATTCCTTATCTTCCTATTCAGGCCATAGGCCCTTCCTTTCCGTATACTATCATAGTCGCCTCTTTGATCAGTAACTATATGTGATTGTGTTTGATGGCGCCAAATACCGATAAGTTATTCCCGTCCATTTCATATCACTTACTTAATTTGTCTGCATTGCCGAGTTTTATCTCTGCTAGACGATGAGTGGCCGTAAAGATGTAAGACTGTTGCATAATATGACATTTCCACTGCCAGTACCGAAATTCTCATTTTTTCCGTTAGAAATCTTTTATTTCTTTTAATCTCAAGATTAGTTTAAAGCTTCATAGCAAAATTCTGAATATTTCTCACAACTAATTTACTCCAGCATTTCCTTCTCCTCCACTTCGGAATGGTTTACTGAAATTTAACTTTTGCGACTGTCACGAGGACATTATCACCTTTGATGACATAATAAAGTACCTTCGAGTGTTCTAAGTAATTATTGCTCGCAATTGCAGCATAATGGCTTGTTACGCAACACTTGAACCAACTCTACCGTAACTAAACGTGGTCGCATTCGGCGTGCGATCTTTGAATTTCGGAACGCTTCTACTTCTGGAGTTTGTTTAGGTCGCACTGCTGTAGATTCAGCCTCATTTTGCCCATTAAATTATTGTATTCAACATCTTTCTGTTTGCAGAGCATTTTTTATTTTTCTTTCATTGGCGAACAAGACAGTACTCTTACGACTTCCTGAAATCAAATTTATTCTCGATCTCCGCAATTGCGTTTACCTCTGCCGAATATTTTCAACTGCATATTATAAATCCCGATCACTGGGATCGGTATACGGTAGGTCGAATGTTTCAATGTGGAACGACGATATCTCAGTGTACAGCATTGATAAAACCTAAGGCATTAGTTTTTTAGTAATTTGCGGAAAGAAATAAAATGACTGCAAAGTTGTGGCCAAAGAAAATAAATTAATCACTTCAAATAAATATAACAAAATTTTAGCAAATGAATTATTCACAATCAAATAAGATTCTCAGCGATGAGATTTACAAGGTGCTTTGGGCTTTTTTTCCGATGAATCAAGTATTGAAAATTAAATTAAAATTAAGTTTTTTCTTTGTTTTTATGGTCTTTCGTGGTATCAGTGATATCACCGACTACAAAAGGAAATGTCTCGAAATGTTGGTGATTTGAGCTTTCGATACCATTTTGTTGCAAACAGAAGATCGGATAGTGTTAATGGTTTAATAAATACATACAATAATTCTACCGATGAAGAGAAAAAGTTATTATCAGATGAATGTAAAATCCATTTCGAATGTTGGTGAGCTCATTATTGCTTTTGTTTTAAGAATTTTACAATTTGCATCAATAATTAAGTTCAATTTGCTAATTGTATTGTGTAAATTTCCTCTTTTAATTTCTTTTTTCAAAATAACCATAATAAGTAAAAATTTTAATTTTTAATTACAGTTACTGCGGTAACTTTTTTCTCAATCACTTGGATCTTTTGACGCACAAGCGTGTCTACTGTCGTTCACTATGTTCGGCTGCTGCATTATCATACAGTGCTATTACCCCAGATTTTGATGAAAAAGCGTGTACAGGTAAGGAGTTTTTCAGAAGAAGTATCATTCAATTCAAAAGAATCATTTTAACTCGAAGAAGTGGATAGATGTCTATTCCGGTATAAGTCTTTCAACCGATACCTTTCATTGATCTGATTAAAAAAAAAAAACATAACTACAATTAAAACACTATATTTCAGAACTTCAAAACAGCAATAATAACATTGAAAAGGAAGAAACATCACCAGAGCAGCAGAATAAAGAAGAGGCAGAAACATTTGGCACGAAGACTGATTCACAGTCACCGAAACGTGCCAAAATCATTCTTAAGCGAACAAATGCTATTAACTCTGTCAACAAACACGCGAAATATTGTGCCTTATCAAAACAAAATTCGGAAGTTAGTTTATTTATAACGATTATTTAACCATCTTTTAATCATAATGTGATATATATATATACATATGTATGAAGAAAGACGAAAGAGAGGAAAAAAAGATTAAAAATGCTTGCCCGTCTTTGGACTGAATTTCATTCTACTACAAATTTGTTTATAGCACAAATTGGAATTACATACGCCGCTCCGTATCTCACATGATGTGGCAACAACAACATACGTAGAAGGGCAACAGGTAGCTCTTTTTAACTTCTTTTCTTATCTTTATAAATCTTAAGATCTTCAAGAGAAATAATGGAATAAAATTTGAATGCGTTAAACGTTTTCCAGATCATGGAATCAATTCCACATGCGTTGGTAACCGTAGATACAATACCACCAGATCGCGTTCCAGTTCTTATTCCACAAGACAATTCAAGTCGCTATCGAGAAATGAATCTACGCAATCGCAAGGGTGATAGCTCAAAAAATGGTGTCGCTCGAAAAGTTGGATCGGAAGAAGTATTTTGTTTTATTTAATTCTTAATGTTCTTGCTAAGTGGGAGTTGGACGAAAAGAAAATCAAATTGCCAGCTCACAAGCAACAAAAAATTTAAAACTTTATTTTTTTTACAATTACAGCTTAAAATTTTGGAACGAATGGGCAAATATCAAACAATGATGGTTGATCTGAGCTTACTTACTTGCTCACACAGTGACTGCAAGGAAAAGCAACCATTTTCATCACTGTTCACGTTTGCTTATCATCTTACAGTGAAGCATAACCGCCGTGCTACATCAAACAAGCGAATCCCATGTTATCTGTGCGATTTTGAATCTCAGACGTACGCACTTTTGCTGCTTATAAGTATACTTCTAGTTTTAGTATAGTTTTTTATGACTAATTGTTTTCTGTCATTAGATGATAGTTTGGTAACTGATTTATTCAATGATGTTAATATTTCAGATACACTGCATTGATTGAACATTTAAAAAGTTTGCACGAGCAGTATTATCAGGAACATGTTACGGCACGTTCAACATCCGAAGAGCTTAAACGAGGCAGGAAGGGAAAACAAGTAAAGGTAAATATCTTTTAATTTATGTTTTATTTTGCAATTGTAGCAAAGTCTTTCAAGATTTTTTTGACTTCATTTCCGAAAAACTTTTATTTGAGACTGCACAAATGCGAGGGCGAAGCTTGAGTCCATTATCCGATGATTTTCTTGAGACAGAAGAATCATCTGATGGATCAGAAGAGATTGGATATGACTCGGCTCCTGTGCTGGAATTAATGGCAAATGTGGAAGCTGAAAATATTGAATTGGTATATTTTGCTAATCATTTTTGTTAATTTTTTTTTTGTTAAAGATATCGTTTTACATAACATAAGCATAGCTTTCAGGCGGTGAAGGATCGTATGGATTACATTATTGCAGTTGTATGTGGTGAC